CTAATAATTAAATTGTGAGGTTAAATGAGAATACGCTCAATGCATGAATATTACTGAGGGGTGTATTTTTCCAGCACAATAATACAGCTCCTGTGTTTGTCTTCAGGTGACTATTCAACACCTCTAAGTAAAAGTTTAATGACACCTTTCAATTAAGTACGTGACTAGGGCTGTTTTGGGAATTGCTCCTGTTGAAATTAGAATTGCTGTTTGCTCAGCAGCAACCATGGAGTTTCTTTGGCACAGCTTAGAGCAGTTCCCATTGGAAAGGAGCCATTTGTGTGATTAGAGAGCTCAAGTCTTCTGCCAGCTACTCTAAAGTACTGAGGAATGTTTTCTTAGGGTCAAGGGCTGTGTTTCTTATCTGGCTCTGAAGGAAACACAAAAACCTTTCCTTATATTTAAAGTAGTCAGAATAACAATTCAGGATTCACATAAAGATGAGTAAGAATGGGGCAGAAGTGGATCAAGTAATACACATGTTTTGTTTTCACATATAATATTGTCATAAAATATATTATAGGCAGTAGAATGAAATCAGAGCTGCATTGTTTAAATCCAATGTTTGAAGGTCAAATAAATACTTAGTTGGTCTATGGATCTTTACTGCCGCAGTCTACCTTTACAAGATTTAACAAAGTTTAAAGCTAATTTTTTTAATGTCAATTTTTTTAACTTACCTGCTTTGTGCAATGGTTTTGCGCAAAGCAGCCCCAAACCTCCTCTTCTGCCCCCTGCCAGGGATTTCGGTTCCTCTCTGCGCACCACCCTAGGAAGCCATTTCCTATGGGGGCGAACGTGTGGGCTCCCTCCCAAGCTAGGCTGTGTGCATCTGTAGACACACTCAGCAGAGCTTGGTCCCTCCCACTCTCTGCTCACAGTATTTGATTAACAGCAGCAGGAGTCAATGGCTTCTGCTTCTGGCTTTCTGTTCTGTGAATGCAGGGAGAAAGGAGAGATCAGCTACAGACAGGCACAGCCCTGGATCAAATGAGGACTCAGGAAAACATATAAGAAGGTAGGGGGGGGGATGCAAACACTGTGACATTGTTTTACCTTAATGCAGAGAATATATTAAAGCACTAGTAAACCTCAAAATAAATCTAAAAAAATCTTCTCCCTGCAAGTTAAGAGCATAATGTGCTAGTATGCATTGCATACTAGCACATTATGAAACTTACCTGAAAACAAAGCCCTCTAGTGGAGCGCTGTCATGCTTCCCCGGGGCTTTCATCTTCACCCGGGTTCCCAGGCTGTGGCCGTTTGACTGGCCAGGCCATGGTGACGTCACTCCCGCGCATGCGCACGGGAGTCTCAGGCCATGGCACAGCTCTATCAATGGATAGCAACCTGTCCATTGAGAGCGCAGTGTGCTGAAGTAAACATCTCCTAAGCGGTGTAGTATTTACAGTACCTACAGGTAAGCCTGATTACTACCACTTTAAGGTGAAAAATGTTTGGTCTTTACAACCACATTAAGGAGAAACAATGCGTATGGTGGAGCACTGCTCTTGTACTTGTACTGTAACTTAGTGATTGCTAACAGCTCTAGAACCTGTGTACAGCCATTGCTACTGGAACCCGAGGAACAAGAAGCAAGCTCCAGAGCTGTCAGCAATCCCTTGCATGCATGAGTGCTACGGCTGGCAGCAAGGCCTTGTTTCTACTGAAAATGCTGAGGCTGATCTCTGGACCCACAAGAGAAGGGCCCAGAGTAGTGTGCCATTTACACAGACAGCTCACCCAGTAAAAGTGAGCACAGTCATGAAATCTATGCTGAGCCCCATCCTGACAGCTTTGCTTGGATCCCTGATATAGTGGAGCATGATGGGGGTGAAGTAAGAGCCAAGACTCTCAGAAGTGTCAGATCTCTATTATTTTGCAGGGTTTATTTCTAAGGAAGGAAAGAGCAAATTTCAAAGCTAAAATGTATTTTGTTTTGCATTGAAGAAGGTATTCAAATAAAAGAGTGTCAAATGGGGACAGGTTTTCTATTTTTTTTACACAAGTCTTAGTCATTTTACAGTTATTCAAGCAAAGTATTAAGACTAGCAACTCCTATAAACTAAATCTAATTAAAACTTTCCAAGGACAGCCTTTTCTTGTGAGTCATATAATGAACCTTGCATTGTATATTTAAAATCTCCTGGGTAGAAAAGACAAAAATCCCCTCTTCTTTTCGAAAACAATTGTTCTGTTTACTCATTAAGCAGCCCTTGATCTCCAACCCCATGTAATGTTACTGTAGCTTAAAGTGAATCTGTCATGATAAAAGTATTGTGTCTGCCATTGCTGGTCCACTTCTGAAAATTTGTGTTGCCTGTCTGTGTCTGGCTTCAATACTTTTGCATCACAGACCTGGTACAAGCATGCTGTAAATGAGAGTCAGAAATACTTGCCATACTTGTTCTGGGTCAGAGATTAAGAAGCATTTAAGCCATAGCATCAGCATGACAGCCAGGAAACAAAGGAGAGGATAGCAATGGCAGTAACACTTTAAGAAACATTTATGGAACTTGTGCAAAAAGAGACTGGATACATTTGTAAGTCAACAAAATATTTTAGTCCCTATTTACACTTTTGTCAATGCACATGAAAATGCATGCATTCCTGTATTATCGAAATACAGTACATCTGCTTTATGTGAGCAATGTACAGTGAAGGGTTTAAAGTGGTTCTAAAGGCTGAAGGTTTTTTACCTTAATGAATTTTCTGCATTACAGCAAAAAACCTTCTGCCTGAAGCTCCCCCCCCATCCTACCTTATACTTATATGGCACAAACAGGGATATGTGAGCGCTAAAAGTCAATGAAGCCGCTAAACACCAAAAGGTACCAAAAAAACCTCCAAAATAACAATAAAAAACACGGTATAGCACTAAAATAACCATATTTGTATGTAAACCATGATAAATAAAAGAATCTATAAGACCATAAAAACATAAAACGACAGGTGACAAGGTGCGTGTAATAATAAAGTGACTTAGTGGTACCATAAAAAAGTGTCACTCTCATCCAATATACATGTATATATAAACATAAGATATAGCAAACTGGTATATAAGTGACACCAGTGGTAAGGTGCTGACAAATGAATAAAATGACTGAATAGTGATTACCTTTGTCACTATATAGTGTCCAATGGTGTGTAAAGTGCTAAAATTGATAATCAACATATAGTCCAAAATAAGGTGCATAGGAGATCGTGATGATCTTCAATATCTGGTGGTCTTATCCAGTAAGGTGGTGATGTGGCCAAAATTGTAAAGACTGTGCACTCACCAGATGCGCAATCAATGTGTGCATTTAGAGATAACACTCTCAGAAACCTGGAGGTCCCTTTAAGGTGGAAAAGGTCTGGTCTGGTGTCCCTCACTGTTCAACATCCACTGTCAGCAATGGCACAGCCGCTCTGTGGGTGGTTAAAGCTCCCAGGGAGCCCCAGAAAGAGGAGGCCAATAGCGTGATATTGTTTTTTTAAAGTGATTGGTATTTATTCCAAATGATAACAGTAGTAAAGGACAAAACAACTTTCACTGACCAGATGTAGATTCCAAAGATGGCCGCCGGGACCCACATGGTGCTGGTGGCATGACGTCACGACGCTGTAGCTCCTCCCTGATGCATTTCGTGCAATAGCACGTGTTCATAGGGGGTGTGCCTCAATCTTGATCCAGCACTCTGCCTGAGCGTAGTGGTACTCTCGGCTCTCTCTCTTCTCACTGGAAACAGGCAGCAATGGGAGGCATTGGCTTCTGCTGCTGTCAACCACAGCTAGTGAGGGGAGAGGGGGTGGGGGTGGGGCTGCGCCATGCTGTGTGTATCAATGGACAAACACAAAGCAGCTTATGACTGAGCCCACATGAGTGCCCCTATAGAAAGTGGCTTGCTAAGGAGCGAGGAGCACCAGCAGGTGACCCAAGAAGAGGAGGAGTGGGGCTGTTCTGTGGAAAACCAACCAGAGCAGGTAAATATGACATGCTTAATATTAAAAAAAAAAAAAATCCTTTAGATTGACTTCAAATGCACAACACACCACAGCGCACCACAACACACAGACCATACATTGTTACGAGAGGTTCATGTACAATTCTGGTTCATTGTGCTGGTATATTGAATGGGCTACCTTAACGAATAGCACATTAATGTATGACATAATGTGCATTAACGCACCACAAGACAATGCAAAAGTGTGAACTGGCCCTCAATTTCTACATTGTACTACAAATAGGGCAGCATGGCCTGCAACTGCTACACCTAAGGGCTTGGTGATATTAGTTCAGATTCTTTGAGAATACTTACAGTACCTTATTCTCCAAGAGAGGCATCATCAATGCATAGTAATCATTGTAAGAGTTTCACAATAAGTGCTGTTGTATGACTTATTTGTATCTATGGTAGGTAAAACTAATAGCAACTACATGATGTAGAGCACTGAATCACAATAGTTTCTAGATATATCTGTTACGTGCTTTGGTGAAGATCTTTCTTTGCCAAACATACACAAATATGCAGTGAATTTGGGGGGACTTTGAAATGATAGATTATAAAAGAACATGGGAGAGCACGAAGGTATTTCCACTAAACTCTGCAAACATAACATATCACCCATCAAAAATTGCTAATTAAGAGAATGTAAGAACATTGTCAAACATTATGTTTCTGTGCTTTTACAGTGATATACCCTTTAGCAGGCCTGAACAAAATTTAGCACTGCAGCTTATATTAAGCCACATGTTCCATAATGCTTTGCCAACAGCTGATTAACAAGACTGTATGGGAGTTTTTTTGTGTGAGGGATAGAATAGATTGCCCATTCATTTGAACTGCTAAATTTCCCACATCTGCAGATGCAGTATGTTAAATATCAAATATTAGCATGGGCAACTATCGGTAATGAATGCTAAAGGATAGCGTAAATAATAATTTCTTTACCTAACAGTTAAATATTTTGTTTCTTCAAAAGTGATCCCACCAATCAATATCTTCATTAATTCTCACCTGTCTCATTTTAGTTCCAACCATGGAAGCACTTGTATCAATGACAAAAACCACATTCTTTGGTAGAGGAGGTAAGTCAGTGGGTGCAAAATAATGTACAAAGTATCCGTTTAATATCTGTAATTAAAAAGCAATGTATATGGTAAGCAATTTACACTCTCATTATTAAGTGCAATATAAAATTTGTATTAAGAACCTTTAGAGCCCCATAAGACTTTTTGGTGTCAACAAAAAAGCAATCATTCTCCAATTAAAGCAGAACGGTACTGAAATGTTAACATAAAGCTATATAAGCAGTTCTTCTGAAGTTAAGAGTAATAGGCTAAATACTTGCCTTTTTCTGGAGAAAATGATTCTGTAGGTTCTTTTTGGTACTGACCACAAACCGAAAGATCTAAGAACTTGATAATGGGGTTTCTGCTGAAGGAGAACATTAGGATTTCAGCATAGCCACATGACCAAATAACCAGAATTTCAGACAGATCACCAGCAGTGAATTAACATTGTCTCCAAGAAATGTAAGTATTGCAGTTTTTCTATTACTCTTTATTCAGTTAAGAGTGTTAACACTTGGGAATGTGTCCACTTTGAGTTAACAGGTGGAACAAACAAACAAGAGCACCATCTTAGACCATCAATCATCTAAACTGGTCACCCCTATTTTGATATAGCAACTGATATCCAACTAGAGTATGTAAAAATGTACTTAATTTGTCTGGTACTCAGTTATAAGAGGCATGCTACTGTTCATTGGTAGTAACACCCTAAAAAAAAAAATCAGAGTTGAAAAATTAACAAGAAACCGATTGCATAAACATTTTAGTAATGCATTAACTTACTCATGGAAGTCAGGTTAACCAAATTTACTGAGAATTAGGATATGTTCAACCTGACATTGTATTGTAAAATAACTTCCTATCATATAAAATGTAGTTTTATAAATCAGTACCTGAATGTCGCCAATGCTAAGCTCTCTTCTTACATCATATCGAACCACAAAATCACCAAGATTCCCATTTTGAGTGATCTTTGCTTGCTGAACTACATTGGGTTCAAATGTTATTCTTGCAAAATTTTCTGTCTGGTTAATAATCGTTGAAGGAGGGGGGGAGATTTCATCTACTGAAGAAAAATAGTATATGTCAGATACATAGAGGTTAATTCCTTTTAGGAGGTGACAAATTGTACTACAGAGCCTAATTTTAGTATCGTAATCATTCTGACATGTACAAACACATTTTCTTTCTTCACTACATAAATAAAAATCAAAGACAAAATCAGTTGTCCTAGTGACAAAAATTAGTTCATTAGTTTCATGTTAGTGCTGATTTAGTTGTCATAGTTTTAATTAATTAGCCTGCATTACAGTAATGAGAAATATATAAAGAGATTTGGGAAACAGCCTGTCTAGTTCCATAGAAACAATAATGATCTGTAGTTCAAACTTTTATAATACATATTTTCTATGATCCTTTAAATGTGTGAGCTTTTTATAAATCACACAACATTTTGTAATCCATAATTTATATCATATTATTATTCTGAATTTGCAATGTGTGGGTCCATCATGTATTGTCAAGAATTATACCCAGCAATTACCTCCATTACTTGCTTAGTTATTTGAATGCCAACTATTTAGACAACAAACATAATGCATGAATCATTCACCCTTCAAGTACTAAAAACAGGTAAATGGCAGAAATAGTCTAATAGAACTAAATGATAAAAGAGAAAGTAAGTGAAAAATTCTGGTTTAGGCGATTGGCCTTTGTTGTTGTTATCCCACAGTGGGAGTGTGGGATAGCCAAATGTCTAAATGTTTTAAATGTCATATTTTTGGTATTCTTTTCCAAATCATAAAAATGATTAAAAGGTGAGAGGGGTTTTACTGGGAATGGTGTATGATGATACTTTTTAGCCATGCTCTATATACTAAAAAGCAGATTGTGAAGGATTATATACTATTAGGATTTAGTTTATATAGTCTTGCAAAAAAAAATAAAATCCTGAAAAAATAAGTATTGCAAAATTAGTAACTCCTCATAAGTTATAGGTCCGTTAGACATCAATTAAAGTCAGATGGCAACAAACGGGGAACCCAAAGATCGTGCATTTTATGGAACTTATGCATCGTGTAAGTTTTGCAGATATTTTTTCATTGATAAAGATGCAATGTACCTTTTTTTTTAAAGCTCCTGAGGTAGTCTAATAGCTAAGTTTTCATGGTGGTTTGCTTGGTTGCCATAAAAACATGTGTCATTAGACTAGCTTGGGATTGTAAGAGCCTGTACAGTTTCAAATTAATTAGGGCTTCACTAGGGGTTATAGGTATGTTAACCTTCAACACTGTCAACAGCACATCATAGACCTAGGTCCATAAAGTGTAAGCAATTGGGCAGGTTCACCATTTGTATACTTGGGTTCCCAGCTCCAAGCACTCATGGAAGCAGGATGCCTCCAATGGTACAGTAACCAAAGTAAAATAATACTTATTAAAAGTGAAAAGCCATTCACAAAATTAAAATCATTAATGCACTCATCTCTGTTAACACATGGATAGGCTTTAGTGTAGTGTTACTAGTAATGCCATGTTATCTCACCACCTCCAGAATACTCGGACCCCGCTGCCATGTCACTTCCAGCTCTGACATCACCTCCAGTCACTTCACAGCCATGTCCTGATGTATTTAGTCACTTCCAACTTCGTCAGAGGTGCACCCCTGTGACAGAGTTGGAAGTAATGAAACGCGTCACGACATGGCTGCACAGCAATTGGAGGTGATGTCAGCACCAGAACCAGACGTGACACTACACTTGACACCTACCCATGTGACAACAGAGATGAGCGCATTAATGACTTAATTTTGAGTGGATTTTCACTTTTAATAAAGTATTTTACTTTGGTTACTGTGCCATTGGAGGCATCTGTTTCTTTCTAATGTTGATGATACATGGTGGATTGGATTGAGCAGTTTGATCTAGAAGAATAGATCAAACTGCTCAATCAGAGAGCAGATGTGGAAAGTCTAAAGACAGCTATGCCAACCATGAGAGTGGGGGGCATGGCAATATTATTGTTATACAGGTTTTATATAGTGCCAACAGTTTGCTCAGCGCTTTACAATATAACGGGAGATAATACAGCAACAATACAGTTCAATACAATACAAGAGGGATAGGAGGGCCCTGCTCCTTGGAGCTTACAAATCTAGGAGGGAGGGGCTAGTTGTACAAAAGGTAGTAACTGTGGGGGAATGTTTGCCCATAAGGGAGAAGAGCTTGCCCGAGCACAAATGCTGTTTGGTGGAAAAGAAGTAGTTTTGGGAAGGAATTAAGCATCTCTTTTCACAAAGACCTGTGGACTATCATTACAAGGATTTTTTATACACTTTGACAATATTATATTACAGTGCTACTGTGAGGTGGACACTTTAACTTAATTAATGATTCCCACTATTCTTTTATTGAAAGCTGCATTTCTTTTGAAATTACATGAATGTGTTAAATATTCTACAGATATATATACAGATGTGATTTTAATGATTGGGCTGAGATCTTTTTTAAACTGCAGATTGAATTATGGACTGTTTCACATACTCATAATCATATAGAGCTAAGAAACAAAAATTCCTCCTCCATTATCACTTGCGTCCTTCCCTAGATGAACAGTATATTACATTTCATTTGTAATAATAGGAAAAGGTAAACAACCATATTTATGATAATACATTATCAGATCTCCTAAAAAGGAGTCTTTTGGCTGTAATCTTTTAACTTCCAGATAGTCATATGGCTGTTGATCATGGCTCCCGTTTCTGTCTATTTTAGGAAACACTTAAAAAGCTAGTTACTGGACTTTAGATTATGTGACACCTTGACATATCTGCGTGTCCGGACTCCAGTCCAGTTCCTCTGTTTAGACTGATAGCAAGGCCAAACAACTAACCATTGTAAGTAAAGGCACAGTACTGTGTTTTTAGAGGTGTAATGTTACTTCCCCAGGATAAGTACAGAGGAAGTATATTACTTCACAGAAAACTAAAATATCTGTTCCTCTGAATGTTTCTTATTGAACCTGCATGAAAGCCACCTACATATTTTCTCCAAAGAGTATACAGTTCTATTGTTCTAAAAAAATAATTTTCTAATGAGAATTCAAATGTCTTTGATTGGCTGCCAGAAGATCATGCAAACATGGCAGAATAAAAGAACAACCATCGTCATGATGTAGTTCCATTATTACCTATTTTATGTATTTACTCATTCTGCTTTTGATGTTAACTGAAAACACAAAGACCAAGAGATACAAATCATTTCTTGCCAGTTATGAGTTTGTGCAAGACAAAGGTATTCTTTATTTTAATTCCAAGCAGAAAAGTAATAAAACAAACATACACTATTTAATGACACACATACTTCAGTTACAACAACACATTTGGCACTGCCTATCGCTTGGTATTATTTGCTACTCTCTTTGAAATTGTCAGTTATACCTAACATGTCCCTAACGGCCCTATCTATAAAGGAGAGTGAATACGGCTCTTTGCTGGACTCTGCAGTGTTCACTCCAATGGGCAGTCTGTATTTGTCATGCTATTGATAATTGTAAGGTGTTATTTTTTAGGCAGTGGTATGACTACAGTAAGGTCATATTACTACTTTATAAATGGGCACTTAGTGTCAGAGTTCAATCACCCCTTTTTCCACTGAATCCTACTAATAAATCCATTGTTTTCTAGTTCTGAATTTAAATTGGAAAGGTAATTATGGTCTAAATAAAAGACCTAGGATCAGATTTTTTTCATGGTATGTGTAAGCATTCTAAGTCATATGTAATGTGCAAGAATACATTTACCACACACAGTCAAATTTTGATTTAGGGCTCTTTCACACAGAGCCGCTGCACTCCGTTAAGCCAATCCCATACCCAATCAGAGCTGAATGGTATGGATGTCATTTTGTAGGGATGAATGTCAACCGTATCTATTCAGTTTGTGTCTGGCAGACCCTTGATAGCTCAATGGGAGGCCAGATGTAAACAGACTTGCATCTGTTTGGATCAGGCTGCCACTGTTCCATCAAGTTTAGATGTGAAAAAAACTGAAAAGGATTCAGTCCCTTTCTGTTTTTTTTTCTGATCTGGACGAACTCAAAGATAGGCAGGTGTAAGCGGACACAAGTCTGTTTACATTCACCTACCCACTGAGCTGCATGGAACTTCAGATCAGGTCTCCCCGAAAAACTGATAAGCAGACCTGATAGGAAAGCCCATGTGAAAGGGCTCTTAACTTTGATTTATAATCTTAACAAAATTTACTATGTGGTATCTAAACAGCATAAAATTCTAAACAGTCAGTTTAACCTCTGAACTAGACAAAGATACTCCATCTGACATTGCCTCCATATTTCTTTCTTCCCAAAAGACTGAAATCATATTTGCTCCAACATCATCCAGGGTCAGTGTACAACATAGTTACATTGTTAGTCAGGTTGAAAAAATACAGACGTTCATCTAGTTCAACCAACAGGAAAAAAAGAAAACCTCCATATAGATAATCCTATACCTACAGTTGGTCCAGAGGAAGGCAAAAAAACTCAATAGAGCATGAACCATATTGATCCAATGGGGAACATAATTCCTTCCTGATCAATCAGATATTACCTGGATCAACCATCTCTGGTGTTATTACCTATACATGGTAATATCTAGTTATATTTTGGGCATTTAGGAATGCATCCAGCTATTTTTGAAACAATCTACTGAGATGGCCAGAACTAGTTCATGAGAGAGTCTATGCCACATTTTCACAGCTCTTAGTGTGAGGAAGTTTTTCCATATGTGGAGGTTAAGATGTAAAAGAGTGACCTCCTGTCTTCTGTAATTACCTGAAAGTGAATATACGCTTCCTAAAATATGATGCTGGCCCAGAGATGGCACAGTCACATAAATCCCAGTGCCTTTGCAGTGGCCTTTATGCATTTTTTCAATCAACCTACTTGGGTTATCTTGGCAGTGGGTGTGTGACCCCCTGGATGAGTTCACAACACAAAACAGGCACAGCAAAACAGCAGTTTAGGTGAGAAAACAAAGGTGCAGTTTATTTGCACTATTTACAAGAGGA